TGCGCTCTGAGGACCCGCGCCTTCCCGGGGCGCAAGCCAGACCCGGGCGCGCGTGGGCCCCACCGGAAATCTCACGCGACACCCTGGTCTCGGCTGCTGAGATTCCGCTCCGCTCCCACTTTCACTGCCCACCCATCTGCTCTCCCGGGGAGGCTGGTTCCCTCCCCCCTGTGCCCCAATATTTCTCCCAGGCTCTGCCCGTGGGGGGAGGGGCTGGGAGACATCCAGGGGAGGCTCCCTAACTTTTCCTGGCACCGCAGCTGGACTTGGGTCTCCAGGAGCAACTCGACTTGGCCGTGAGGTTCCCCTTGGTGTCCAGGGTTTGAAAGCGAGGATTTGGATAGCAAACAGCTTCCGGGAGGAGAGAAAGAGGACTCCCCGCGGACCAGGAGCTCTGTGGAAGTCAAGCTGGCATAAAGAGACCCCCTAGATGTCCCGGGAGGTACCAGGGTGCCCAGGAGGAAACTCTCCTTTATCAGCCTCTGGCCAGGTGTGAAGAGATTCAGGGTTAAGCCTATGGTGAGCTTAACGATGCTCAAACTATCTGAACCTCAGCTTCCTTATTTGAAAATGAAAAAAAAAATCTACAGCATAATTATGGATATTAGGAATTTGAATACATTACCTTCAGGCACACAAGGCATGAGGAGGACCTCAGTAAATGTCAACGCCTTTCCGGCTGCCACGGTGCATTGGACCTGAACAGTCGGGCGAGGTGGAGCTGATCACAGTTACGCATGCACGAAGTAGTGCGTGAGGAACACGATCATGATTCAATGTTATTATTTCCTGTTTATTCTCCTACAGCCCTGTAAAAATAAGACAAATTACAGGTGAAGTCAGTAAAGACAACACTCTTCTGGCTTACTAATTCTAAGTCAAATCATTTTCTTTGGAAAGGCAGATTTATTCTTCCAATAGAAATTGCTTGAGTGACAAACGGATGCCTCTTCCTTTCCTAATGATTCCAGGAGGAATTAAGAAAGAACAGCAACTCTTTGGTATGACATGACACTAGAGATTGCGAAATGAATCATGCCGTGGCTTGGTAATGAACACGTTTTGATCACATTTTAAAGATGTAAAATTAAGTAGTTATATAGAAATACATTAAATTTATCCTGTTGCTCTGATAATAATACAGGGAAATATTAAGTCTGCAATTCTGTCTTGATGAGGTTTGTACAATGTATCACCTTGTAGAGGTGATATTAAAAAAATCAAACCCAGAAACGATGGATTTAGTAGCATATACAGTGAAGGAGGAATAAAGATTGGTTTTGGTGCTGAAAAAGGCGGGGAGGGGGCTTCGGGTGGTGGCTTTCCTTCTTAGATCTGCCCTCCTCAGACTCTCCCGGGCCTCGGTAGGTTCCTTGCCTGCCATTTCTCGGGTGTATTGAAAAGACTTCTTTGTGTGGCTGTGACGGGCACTGTGAACGTGGCCACCAAGCAGCCAGCAGTGGACATGGGCCTCATGGGACCTTCATTTTAGTGGTATTTTTGCCACTAAAGTGGGTGTAGAGTTAGAAGTAGGAAGGAGCAGAACAGCGAGGATGTTTAACTGCACGGCATGAAGCTGCACCCTCTGAATGGATTCTGTCATTTTCTCTTATTTTCTTTGTGAGGAGGGAATGAAGTTTTATGAAGACAGAATCACCAGAAATGTGCACCTTAGAAAGTGAGGTGTACCAGGCAATGGCCAAGGATGGAGTTTCCTGATTAAGTGAATTTGTTGAACAATCTGCCCATGGCAACCCCACATTCTGAGTTCTGCTTTTATCTGAGCCTACTCAGCTGTTTTAATGAAAATTTCCTTGTCCTTTTCCTTTTACCATAAGAATTCCCCAAATCATAGTCTTCTCCTCTGCCCATGTCTTCAAGAGTTCTACCTATTTTCCGGCAAGTTGAGTGTTTCTGTTTCTGTTTTAATATTTAGATCTTTACTCCACTTCAATTTAAGTTTAGTGCATGGTGAAAGATAGGGGTCTAGTTTTAATCTTTGATAAGTTGCAATCCAGTTTTTCCAACACCATTTCTTGAAGAGACTATCTTTCCTCCAGTGGGGATGTTTGGCTCCTTTGTCAAAGATGAAGTAGCTGAGTACTTCTAGAGTTGTTTCCACATCTTCTAATTTATTCCACTTATCTTTGGGTCTATTTCTTTACCAGTACCATGCTGTTTTTATCACAGTGGCTTTGTAGTATAGTTTCAAGTTGGGGATTGTGATAATCCCTGGCATGTGCCTGTTGCCTACAATTGCATTTGCTATTCTAGGTCTCTTCCGGTTCCAAATGAATTTTTGGATTGTTTTCTCTAGTCTTCCACTGGCTAACTTTCCAAAAGAATGAAGAGAATTATACCACAGTGATATATGTGCACCCATGTTTATAGCAGCACAGTTTGTAATAGCTAAAGCTTGGAAACAGCCCAAGTGCCCATGAACTGGACACTGGATATAGAAGATGTGTGCGTGCGTGTGTGTGTGTGTGTGTGTGTGTTTGTGTCTAATAAAATGGAGTACTACACAGCCATAAAGAACAAGAAACTAGAGACATTTATAGCTAAATAGATGCGCATTGAGGCCATATTCTTAAGTGAAATACATAGGACACACATGTGTAAATGCCAAGTAGTTTCTCTGGTGTGAGAAACTGAAAATATAAATAAGGATTAAAATGAATAATTGATAATATGAAATAGGAAGAAAAGTCCAAAGGGTTAGGGGAAAGGAAATGTGAAGGGTACGGAAAGAAAAGAAGGAAAGGAAAAAATTTGAGAAAAGGAAAAAATGTAAACAAAGTCTTTGTATATAGGGAGGGGTGCAGGAGTTGAAGGGTGGGCTGGGGAATGGGGAAAAATAAGAACAAAGATACATTATGTAAAGGTCCAAGTTTCCAATAATAAATGCAAATGTATTGTGGACCTGAAATGTACCAATAAAAGAATTTGAGATAAAAATTCTAAAAATCATAGTCTCAGACTCCTGAAAGGAGGTGAAGAGGAAATGGCAGATTATCAGGAACTGACCCCAAGCACAAGGTCCTGTACTGTGGCCTTTACAATCTGGGGGTGTGGGGAGGACTATGCTCTTGTGCACATGTGCGAAGCTGCTAGGACTTAAGTCCTGGAGAGTAGGGAGCTTGGCAGGAGATGCTCAAAGGCTCCATATAACAGCAGCCTAAATGGGAGATATTGTGCAAGTCTAATGGGAATTGAGCCATGTATGTGAATACTTACATTTTATTTTTAATGTTCAAAAAGTGAATCTATCGTAATGAGGTATAATATTGAAATTACATTTTACTGAGTTTTATTTGGGTCTCTTTTTGCTCTGAATGTATAATGGCATTGTGCTGCAGTTACTTGTAATGATTTATAATAAGAGGATAAACACCTCATGTGTATTCATTATTCTTTACTCTCTTAACAACTTGATACTTAGTGTCATGTATCTCACACTTGAATTTTTATTTTTAGCAGGCCTCCCCAATATATGCATAATAGGATAGCATTTCAGGTGATGTTGCTGGCTAGCAGAGATATTTTTGCAAAGAGCTTGTCTGAATCCCAAAGTTATGTCTCTGACAATAACCTTCTACTTGACAGTTTTTTCACACTTTTTAGTTTGCTATGTTCATTTTTACCCATTACATGGAGGTCGTTTTCCTTATCTATTTTAGATCCTGACTGTCTACCACTTTGACCCTTGATTTATACTTCTTCCCTTGCTATTTCATCAGAGTTGATTTGCAGTTATCTTGAGTCACTTCTACCCTTGGATCTTCTGGGCTCCTGTAGTCAGCTCCTGGAGAACACTTGCAATTAACCAATCAACACATCTCCACTTCATTGTGCCCAGACTTATTCCTTAAAAAGTCTTGCTCTCTCCAGACATTCTCTCTATGTCTATAATTGGTTCTCATTTCCTAAATTTTCATCTACCCCTCAAATCTCTTCCTTCTCAGATTCAGTAAGTTGTCTTGTCTCCATGTTAGCAGGACAAAATAAAAAACCACCAGCCAAAAATGTGTTTACATCCACATTTCCAGCATTTTGTCTTCTCAGTCCATCATTTGTCTTCTTCTAAAAGCCCTGCTGTACCTGTGCTGCCTGGCCTCTCAGTGATTTCTCTTCAACATGCAGTCTTTTTGGCCCATTTTCTTTAGTATTGAAACATGCATAATAATTTGCATTAAAGTCTCTCTTTCTGGATCATATCATTCTTTAGTTACTATTTAAATCTCTCTTCTTCTACCCTTATATGAACTTCTTTTAATAAAATTCTTCTTTTAATAATAATTTCTACTCCCTCATGTCACAGTATCAATTTATTTTTTCTTTTTCCTTTTTGTCTCTGTTATCGGGAATTGAACTCAGGACCTTGCATTTGCCAGGCCGTCAGGGCACCACTGAGCTATATCCCCAGCCCCTACGATATCAGTTTTAAGTACTGAATATTTACCAGTCTCCATGTACTTTCCTATTCGTTGTCTGCGTATCAGACTGGTCAGTTTCCATTCATAACTTTCATGGCCTTTCTTTAGCAGTGCCATTTGACATTTGTGTGTTTCCCAGCTCTGTCTGGACAGAACTTGAGTGTTTTAAAACACTAGAAGTTTATTCTCTCCTCACAGTTCAGGCAGCTGGAAATCTGAAGTTAAGGTGCAGGCAGGGAGCTTTTTGGGTGTTAAGAGAGAATCCATTCCATGCCCCTCTCAGCCTCTCCCATGTTCTTTGGCTGGCACAGAGGTCCCTCCAGTTGCCACTTCTGCCTACACTTGGTGTCCTCCCGTCACCTTCCCTGTGCCCTTCTCTGTTCTTACAAAGATATCAGTTATTTGATTGGGACTGACCCTGATCCAGTACACTTCATTTTAATTTTCCTACATCTACAAAGACCCTATTTCCAGACAAGGTCACATTCACAGGTACTGGGGATTAGGACTTGAAGGACAATAGAATTCTACCCACAATAGATATCTCCAAACTTGTGTCCTTTCTGTGGGCAAAATATATTCACTGTATCCTGCCATTCTCCAAATTCTTTAGCCATTCCAGCATCAATTTGAGTCCAAAATATTATTTAAATATCAATTCAAAAATCCCCATCTGCTGTCATCTAAATCAGGTCTGTGGGAGACTCTAGATATGGTCCATCCTGGGGCAAAATCCCTCCCCTTCCACAGGGCTTTGAATATGAAAAGAAGTGTTTCCTCCCCAACATAATGGCGGTACAGACATGGGATGGACCTTCTCATTCCAAAATAGAGATAATGGGAGGAATTAAAGGATAGCATGTGAAGCAAGTCGCCACTTCAGCAGGGACAAATTTATTCCACTTTAGGGCCTGAGAAATGAGGATTTCTCCCCCCATGGGTCACATCCAGTAACTCACCGTCTCCGGTAGAGTAGCCGCTATGTTCTTAGCAGTTTTTGTATTCACTTTCTTATTTCTGTTCTCACTGTGTTTCTTCCATAGTTTAAATTCCTGTTATTTCTCCTGTGTATCCAAGGACAGGCTCATAGAGGATCATTCTGATTGTAGTCAGAATTCTTTTGTCAGCTATTGTTTTCTGGGGCTTAGGTTGATTTCTCTGAACGTACGTCAGATCAGTCATTTCCCCGCCAGAAACTTTTCAGGGGCGAGCAAGGAGGTCGTTCAGCGTCAGGACTCCAGCTTCCTCTTTCACATCATCTTTGTAACATCACTCCCTGACATGGTTCTTTCCTTGATCTGAAGCTGCTGGTGATGCTTCTAACACATCCTCACATTTTACATATCGTGTGCTCACACTTCTGGCCTCCTTGGAAACCCTTTTTATGCCCATTATTTTATCCTTGTTCTTTAAATCTCATTTAACTTCTCTTCATTTTTAAAACAAAAGTTCCTAGGAAGGGGAAGTCCATTGTAAAACCTACTTATGTCAGTGGTTTGGTTTATATTACACTCTCCTATAACTGTGTTATTCCTATTTATCTTCCCAGTTAAACTGTAAGAACTAGTGGGCTATGAGTGATGAGAGCATGAAACCTATAACAAATATTTCAATGGTATTGCTAAGTGCTTAGCATATAATATGATCTTTTGTTTATAATTTGAAATTGACACACCTCACCTGATTTGGCTAATGACTTTTTTTTTTTTTTT